ACCCTTCGCGAAGGTTGTTCTCAGTAGTGGCGACTCTGACGAGCTTGCTGCTGGGGCTCGCCAGCATTGCGGCAATCGCAAGGGCCGGTGGCCGCACGCGGCCAACGCTACCCGCCGAGGCTGCGCCAGCAGGCGCTGCGCCGGCCGCCGTCGTGGCCCAGTCGGATGTGCCGCCCCACGGGCGGATCCAGGACGCCGCGGATGTCGGTTCCGTCGAAGCTATCGAATACGAGGTCCACGCCCTCGGCAGCGCCAGCCTCCCGGGAGCTGCCGTCGCGCGGGGCGGCGCCCCTGCGGAAGCTGCCAGGGCCTCGCCGCCGCCCGCGGCCGGCGGGCCCCGCCGCGCGAGCGGCGCCGGCGCGGGAGGCTCCGAGGCAGCCGCGGGCGCCGACGCCGAGGTGCAGCCCCCGGCGGCGCAGCAGCCCCGGCGGCAGCTGGCAGGCGCCCAGGCTCGCCAGGCCACGGCAACCGAGTCCACAACAACCGAGTCCACTACAAGACCGACCAATTACGTACTGTTGGGACTTGGCGAGACGTGTGCTTCCGAGGGTTACGAGGAGATTTCCGACCCCGAAGAGTGTTTTCATGTGGCAACTTTGAGCATCGCCGAGATTTCGGGCAGGGAGACTTCTGAAGTAAGCGGCCCTTTCTCTTGCGTGTTCCAGTACGGGGTTCTTTTCTTCGGCGATGGAGTCACACAAACACTGTCCTCCACCACGTCTTTGAGTACGACATCCGAGACGTCGAGCACGACACTGTCATCGACAACGCAGTCCTCCCGAACCACTGCGAGTACAACTACGTCAGACAGCTCTACCACGACAGTGTCATCGACAACAGCGACTTCGGACACCACGAGCGTGTCTTCTAGTACGACCGTCTCCTCCACATCTGGAACCTCGACCGCCTCTTTAAGCTCGACGTCTCAGACTTCCTCTACGACTTTGAGTACGGCATCCGAGACGTCGAGCACGTCACTGTCATCGACAACAGGGACCTCCACTACGAGTTAGTGTACGACAACCGGGACTTCTAGCACGACGATGTCTTCCAGTACGAGCATCTCCTCTGGCACGACAGGGACAACTGCTTCTGACACTTCTACTACGACCCTGTCTTCGACAACGGATACATCCGATACAACGACCATGTCTTCTAGCACGACCGTCTCCTCCACGTCTGGAACGTCGGCTACGGACACCTCTACCAGGACACTGTCATCGACAACAGGGACATCCGTTACCACGACCATGTCTTCTAGCACGTCTCTCTCTTCCACTTCCCCGACCTCGACTACGACGTTGAGCATGACTTCGTCCAAGACTTCTAGCACGACTCGGTCTTCCAGTTCGACACGAACAACTGCTTCGATCTCCTCCACCACAACCGCAACCGTGACCCCGAATTACGTCTTGCTGATTGCTGGCGAGACGTGCGAGTCGCAGGGCTATGAAGAGATCCCGGATTCTCAGACGTGCTTCGTGGATGCGCAGAGCAGAGTCGCTGACCTCTCTACGGTGATCCAGACTTTTTCAGTTCCTGCCGAATTCTTTTCCTGCGCGTTTCAGTACGGCTTTCTTTTCTTTGGCAACGGAGCCGCTGGAGCCGCTGATGACAATAGACGTTACGTCTGCCAAGGAGTGCCACCAGAGACTTCGACTTCTACCGGGACGACCGCAAGCACGTCCGTGTCAACTAGCACCCAAAGATACGATCCCACCAACGTGACATATCCAGACATTTGCCAGATCTGGTATTATCATGTCGTGACTGGTAGCACGCCTGCTCTGCGACAAGAGGCTTGCTTCACCACAGCTCAGGTAATGACGAGCGTCGTAGCCTGGCCACAGAGCACAGTCAACCTGGAGGAGGGGTCAAATCTCGGAGGCTGTATCTTCAACCTTGGAGGCGAACCATCAATTACTACGACCTGAGGGCGCAATATGCCTACGAGCTCTGGCTCGACATTTGCGATGGCCTGACCACATCGACAGAGTCGTCCACCACTAGCTTGACTCATAGCTCGACGGGTAGCTCCAGCACGACCCTCTCTTCAACCACACGGACATCTTCCTCGACAGTGTCATCGACATCTGATACCTCCACCACGACTACGAGCACGATATCGCAGACTTCCACTTCGACTTTGAGTACGACATCCGAATCGTCGAGCACGACACGGTCATCGTCAACACAGAGTTCTAGCACGACGTGACAACTACGTCGGACACCTCTTCCACGACAGAGTCATCGACAACGGGGACCTCCTCTACGACATTGAGTTCAACATCCGAGACTTCTAGCAGACGATGTCCTCGAGCACGACGCTGACAACTACGTCAGACAGCTCTACCACGACAGTGTCATCGACAACAGCGACTTCGAACACCACGAGCGTGTCTTCTAGTACGACCGTCTCCTCCACATCTGGAACCTCGACCGCCTCTTTAAGCTCGACGTCTCAGACTTCCTCTACGACTTTGAGTACGGCATCCGAGACGTCGAGCACGTCACTGTCATCGACAACAGGAACCTCCACTTCTACTACGACCCTGTCGTCGACAACGGAGACCTCCGACACAACGACCATGTCTTCTAGCACGACCGTCTCCTCCACGTCCGGAACGTCGGCTACGGACACCTCTACCAGGACACTGTCATCGACAACAGGGACATCCGTTACCACGACCATGTCTTCTAGCACGTCTCTCTCTTCCACTTCCCCGACCTCGACTACGACGTTGAGCACGACTTCGTCCAAGACTTCTAGCACGACTCGGTCTTCCAGTTCGACACGAACAACTGCTTCGATCTCCTCCACCACAACCGCAACCGTGACCCCGAATTACGTCTTGCTGATTGCTGGCGAGACGTGCGAGTCGCAGGGCTATGAAGAGATCCCGGATTCTCAGACGTGCTTCGTGGATGCGCAGAGCAGAGTCGCAGACCTCTCTACGGTGATCCAGACTTTTTCAGTTCCTGCCGAATTCTTTTCCTGCGCGTTTCAGTACGGCTTTCTTTTCTTTCTTTGGCAACGGAGCCGCTGGAGCCGCTGAAGACGGAAGACGCTACGTTTGCCAAGGAGTGCAACGAGAGACTTCGACTTCTACCAGGACGACCGCAAGCACGTCCGTGTCAACTAGCACCCAAAGATACGATCCCACCAACGTGACATATCCAGACATTTGCCAGATCTGGTATTATCATGTCGTGACTGGTAGCACGCCTGCTCTGCGACAAGAGGCTTGCTTCACCACAGCTCAGGTAATGACGAGCGTCGTAGCCTGGCCACAGAGCACAGTCAACCTGGAGGAGGGGTCAAATCTCGGAGGCTGTATCTTCAACCTTGGAGGCGAAACCATCAATTACTACGACCTGAAGGCGCAATATGCCTACGAGCTCTGGCTCGACATTTGCGATGGCCTGACCACATCGACAGAGTCGTCCACCACTAGCTTGACTCATAGCTCGACGGGTAGCTCCAGCACGACCCTCTCTTCAACCACACGGACATCTTCCTCGACAGTGTCATCGACATCTGATACCTCCACCACGACTAAGAGCACGACATCGCAGACTTCCACTTCGACTTTGAGTACGACATCCGAATCGTCGAGCACGACACGGTCATCGTCAACACAGAGTTCTAGCACGACGTTGACAACTACGTCGGACACCTCTTCCACGACAGAGTCATCGACAACGGGGACCTCCTCTACGACATTGAGTTCGACATCCGAGACTTCTAGCACGACGATGTCCTCGAGCACGACGCTGACAACTACGTCAGACAGCTCTACCACGACAGTGTCATCGACAACAGCGACTTCGGACACCACGAGCGTGTCTTCTAGTACGACCGTCTCCTCCACATCTGGAACCTCGACCGCCTCTTTAAGCTCGACGTCTCAGACTTCCTCTACGACTTTGAGTACGGCATCCGAGACGTCGAGCACGTCACTGTCATCGACAACAGGGACCTCCACTACGAGTTTGTGTACGACAACCGGGACTTCTAGCACGACGATGTCTTCCAGTACGAGCATCTCCTCTAGCACGACAGGGACAACTGCTTCTGACACTTCTACTACGACCCTGTCGTCGACAACGGATACATCCGATACAACGACCATGTCTTCTAGCACGACCGTCTCCTCCACGTCTGGAACGTCGGCTACGGACACCTCTACCAGGACACTGTCATCGACAACAGGGACATCCGTTACCACGACCATGTCTTCTAGCACGTCTCTCTCTTCCACTTCCCCGACCTCGACTACGACGTTGAGCACGACTTCGTCCAAGACTTCTAGCACGACTCGGTCTTCCAGTTCGACACGAACAACTGCTTCGATCTCCTCCACCACAACCGCAACCGTGACCCCGAATTACGTCTTGCTGATTGCTGGCGAGACGTGCGAGTCGCAGGGCTATGAAGAGATCCCGGATTCTCAGACGTGCTTCGTGGATGCGCAGAGCAGAGTCGCAGACCTCTCTACGGTGATCCAGACTTTTTCAGTTCCTGCCGAATTCTTTTCCTGCGCGTTTCAGTACGGCTTTCTTTTCTTTGGCAACGGAGCCGCTGGAGCCGCTGACGACGGAAGACGCTTACGTCTGCCAAGGAGTGCCACGAGAGACTTCGACTTCTACCGGACGACCGCAAGCACGTCCGTGTCAACTAGCACCCAAAGATACGATCCCACCAACGTGACATATCCAGACATTTGCCAGATCTGGTATTATCATGTCGTGACTGGTAGCACGCCTGCTCTGCGACAAGAGGCTTGCTTCACCACAGCTCAGGTAATGACGAGCGTCGTAGCCTGGCCACAGAGCACAGTCAACCTGGAGGAGGGGTCAAATCTCGGAGGCTGTATCTTCAACCTTGGAGGCGAGACCATCAATTACTACGACCTGAAGGCGCAATATGCCTACGAGCTCTGGCTCGACATTTGCGATGGCCTGACCACATCGACAGAGTCGTCCACCACTAGCTTGACTCATAGCTCGACGGGTAGCTCCAGCACGACCCTCTCTTCAACCACACGGACATCTTCCTCGACAGTGTCATCGACATCTGATACCTCCACCACGACTAAGAGCACGACATCGCAGACTTCCACTTCGACTTTGAGTACGACATCCGAATCGTCGAGCACGACACGGTCATCGTCAACACAGAGTTCTAGCACGACGTTGACAACAACGTCGGACACCTCTTCCACGACAGAGTCATCGACAACGGGGACCTCCTCTACGACATTGAGTTCGACATCCGAGACTTCTAGCACGACGATGTCCTCGAGCACGACGCTGACAACTACGTCAGACAGCTCTACCACGACAGTGTTATCGACGACGGAGACCTCCGACACATCGACCGTGTCTTCTAGCACCTCGTCGTCGACGACAGGCACGTTTGGCGAATACCGCCGGTACGTCTGCAAGGGGGAGCCGTCATCCTTGACCGAGACGATTGCGTCCACGGAATCAGCCACCACGAGCTCGACTTCCAGCAAGACGGAAAGTTCCAGCACTACCATTTCTTCGACGACTGAGACCTCTACCACGACTGCGACTACGAGATCTGGGACCTCCAGCACGACTGTGAGTACGATGTCCGAGACTACTAGCACGACAATGTCTTCAAGCACGACCGTCTCATCTACATCTGGAACTTCGTCGACGCCAACGACATGGACAAGCATGTCGGACACATACACCAGCACCGAGACCTCCACCACCACAGCGTCAACCCTCACAGAGACTGTGAGCACGATGTCCGAGACTACTAGCACGACAGTGTCTTCAAGCACGACCGTTTCATCCACATCTGGAACTTCGTCGACGCCAACGACATGGACAAGCATGTCGGACACATACACCAGCACCGAGACCTCCACCACCACAGCGTCAACCCTCACAGAGACTGTGAGTACGATGTCCGAGACTACTAGCACGACAGTGTCTTCAAGCACGACCGTCTCATCCACATCTGGAACTTCGTCGACGCCAACGACATGGACAAGCATGTCGGACACATACACCAGCACCGAGACCTCCACCACCACCGCGTCAACCCTCACAGAGACTGTGAGTACGATGTCCAAGACTACTAGCACGACAGTGTCTTCAAGCACGACCGCCTCATCCACATCTGGAACTTCGTCGACGCCAACGACATGGACAAGCATGTCGGACACATCCACCAGCACCGAGACCTCCACCACCACCGCGTCAACCCTCACAGAGACTGTGAGTTCGATCACGTCACGGTCATCGTCAACACAGAGTTCTGGCACGACGTTGACAACTACGTCGGACACCTCTTCCACGACAGTGTCATCGACAACGGGGACCTCCTTTATGATATTGAGTTCGACATCCGAGACATCTAGCACGACGATGTCCTCGGGCACGACGCTGACAACTACGTCAGACAGCTCTACCACGACAGTGTCATCGACAACAGCGACTTCTGACACCACGACCGTGTCTTCAAGCACGACCGTCTCATCCACATCTGGAACTTCGTCGACGCCAACGACATGGACAAGCATGTCGGACACATATACCAGCACCGAGACCTCCACCACCACAGCGTCAACCCTCACAGAGACTGTGAGTACGATGTCCGAGACTACTAGCACGACAGTGTCTTCAAGCACGACCGTCTCATCCACATCTGGAACTTCGTCGACGCCAACGACATGGACAAGCATGTCGGACACATACACCAGCACCGAGACCTCCACCACCACAGCGTCAACCCTCACAGAGACTGTGAGTACGATGTCCAAGGCTACTAGCACGACAGTGTCTTCAAGCACGACCGTCTCATCCACATCTGGAACTTCGTCGACGCCAACGACATGGACAAGCATGTCGGACACATACACAAGCACCGAGGCCTCCACCACCACCGCGTCAACCCTCACAGAGACTGTGAGTTCGACCACGACACGGTCATCGTCAACACAGAGTTCTAGCACGCCGTTGACAACTACGTCGGACACCTCTTCCACGACAGTGCCATCGACAACGGGGACCTCCTTTATGACATTGAGTTCGACATCCGAGACTTCCAGCACGACGATGTCCTCGGGCACGACGCTGACAACTACGTCAGACAGCTCTACCACGACAGTGTCATCGACAACGGAGTCATCGACAACGGGGACCTCCTTTATGACATCGAGTTCGACATCCGAGACTTCTAGCACGACGATGTCCTCGAGCACGACGCTGACAACTACGTCAGACAGCTCTTCCACGACACTGACATCGACAACGGAGACCTCCCTCACATCGACCGTGTCTTCAAGCACGACCGTCTCATCCACATCTGGAACTTCGTCGACGCCAACGACATGGAGAAGCATGTCGGACACATACACCAGGACCGAGACCTCCACCACCACCGCGTCAACCCTCACAGAGAGTCTCAGCTCGCGAGCGAGTACGGCATCCGAGTCATCCAGCACAACAGGTTCAATGGACACAGGTACGCCCAATACGACTTCGATCACAGCGACAGGGACCATCACAGCGAGTGAGAGCACGACTTCCCCCGCGGTGGAGACGACGGGTGCTGCGACCACGGCGCCAGCCGAAGACAGGACATCCCAGGCGGGGACATCTGGCACCCAGGAGGCCACCACTCTGGTGTCGGAGACGACAGGTGGCGTTACCACAACACCACCCGAGGGCAGTACATCTCAGGCGGGGACGACTGGAGCGGCTACTACGACAGCACCCGAGGTCGCCACCACCGCCGAGGCAGAGACGACAGGTGCCGTTACTACAATACCAGCCGGGGGCAGTACAGTTCAGGCGGGGACGATTGGAGCGGCTACTACGACGGCGCCCCAGGAGGCTACCACTGCCAACGCGGAGACGACAAGTGCCGTCACCACAACACCATCCGAAGACAGCACAGCCGAAGGGGGCACAACCAGCTCCCTCATTACAACAACGCCCGAGGAGGCCACCACTGCCGACGCAGAGACGACAGTTGTCATTACCACAGCACCACCCGAAGGCAGCACATCTCAGGCGGGGACGACTGGAGCGGCTACTACGTCAGCGCCCGAGGTGGCCACCACCGCCGAGGCACAGACGACAGGTTACTCTACCACAACACCACCCGAGGACAGTACATCTCAGGCGGGGGCGACTGGAGCGGCTACTACGACAGCGCCCGAGGTTGTCACCACTGCCGCCGTTACTACAATACCAGCCGAGGACAGTACAGTTCAGGCGGGGACGACTGGAGTGGCTACTACGACGGCGCCCCAGGAGGCTACCACTGCCAACGCGGAGACGACAGGTGCGCTTGCTACACCGGCACCCTCAGGCAGTGTAACTTCCAGTGCGACTGCGAGCACATCATCCCAGACTTTCACGGCGACTGCATCTACGTTATCCGATTCCAGCACTTCTTGTACCGCTAGTGTGACAGTGTCAACCAAGTCAGATACATCCAGCACGTCTGTAAGTACGTCGTCCGAGACCTCCACCTCCAGTGTGAGTACCAGCGTCAGCCAGACCGCTAGTGTGACAGTGTCAACCAAGTCAGATACATCCAGCACGTCTGTAAGTACGTCGTCCGAGACCTCCACGTCCAGTGTGAGTACCAGCGTCAGCCAGACCGCTACTGTGACAGTGTCAACCAAATCAGATACATCCAGCACGTCTGTAAGTACGTCGTCCGAGACCTCCACATCCAGTGTGAGTACCAGCGTCAGCCAGACCGCTACTGTGACAGTGTCAACCAAATCAGATACATCCAGCACGTCTGTAAGTACGTCGTCCGAGACCTCCACGTCCAGTGTGAGTACCAGCGTCAGCCAGACCACTGGCACCTTGACCAGCACCAGCGCAAGTAGCATCAGTATTACCAGCACCACTGTGACCAGCATTACTGCGACCAGTACCAGTGCCACCCTTACTAGCACCACTACCCCGCTTTATGTTGTAAGCAGTTCCGTATATTTTTCAAGCAATGGCACAGTGGACAATGTGACAGATGCGATAACGTTGCATTTATCTGATACGTTTGGCGTGGATGGCGATCAACTTTTGGTGACTGTCTCCTCCTCTAACGGCCGGTCGACTGTCAGCTTGTGGGTAGCAGATTTCGAGATATTCGCACCTATAGGTTCTGCCAGCCAAATCTTCGAAGCGACATGGCAGATAGCCAACGAATCTTCTAACTTCACCGCATCTCTGCAAACGAAGCTGCAGGCGCTAGGCTTAGGAACTGATGGAACTTTAGTAACCGTTGCATCACCAGAAATCCAGATTGTTACTGCAACCATGACAACGGTGAGCGTGACCTCGACCAGCATGACGGCGACCAGCAGAACGGCGACCAGCACAATGTCGACCAGCACCATTACCACGTCCACTGGCACCACGACCAGCATTACCAGCATCACCAGCGTGACCACATTAAGCACGAGCAGCTCCACTGAATCCAGCACCACTACCCTGACCAACACCAACACCATCACCGCATCCAGCATGACCAGCACCACTACCGGGCACACCACTACTTTCGCCACTATGTCCACGACCAGCACCACAAGTGTGACTACATCCAGCATGACCAGCACGACTACCGGGCACACCACTTCAATGTCCAGCACCACCACTCTGACAACTGCCACCGCGTCCAGCAGCATTGCCCCGACCACTGCCACCGCGTCCAGCTCGACAACGCGGACGTCTTCCACCGCGTCCAGCAGCACTACCCCGACTACGACCACCGAGACCTTCACCGCAACTGGGACTACGACGACCAAGACGTACAGCGAGACAGGGACTACGACAAGCGAGACCTATAGCACGACCTCGTCTTCCAGCACGACCGCCCCTTTGACGTCCCAGGCCTCAAGTTCGACACTTCATTCCACTACAACCACAGGCACCACAACCGCTACCGCGACCGCTACCCCACAGCGGTGGTCCGAGGTCCGGGGCACCCTCGTGCTCACATTCGGCACCAACGTCTCCTCTGCCGATGCAGCGGCCGCTGCTCAGAGCGCTATCTCGCTGTATTTGGATATGTCGGAGTCGCTGGTCACCGCCGACTCTGTAACCGTCAGTCAAGCGGGCACATCTGGCAGTCGACGGGGTGCGAGAGCGCTCAGCAGCACCACCTTCTCTTACGCAGTTGCTTACATTGTCGCCGTGGCGGGCTCCGATGCGTCAAGAGAGCAAACTCTCCTGGCTGCGCTGCACAATGACACCAGCGTCATCGCTTCGACGCTACAGGTGGTGTTGGAAGAAATGGGCCTGCCCAGTGTAACCTCACTGCTTGCGACTGAGCCAGAAGTTCTTGTGTGGTTTCTTACGACGGCGACACAAACGTCAACCGCTGGAATGGCATGCTACGCGGACTCGGTGCCAGACACGTGGGACGTGATCGATAGCTCTTCGTGCGTCGGCACTGCAAGCGGTTCGAGCTGCTCGCCAGTATGCAACGAGTCGTACGAATTGATCGAGCCAATCAAGTGCACCAATGGCCAGTTTGACGAACTCCCACTGATCTGCATACACTCTCGGCACGCAGAGGCGCTAGAGCTTACCGATGTCTTTGTCGTTGAGATGGCAATCGCCACCAATGAATCCGATTCGGGCCTGACTGCCGACTGGGCCCGCAGTGCAGGAATCGAGGCCGCCATCAAGAGCACACTTGCCAAACTCTTGGGCCTGCTTCAGGGCCAGATCTTCCTCAAGGGGCAGGAGGAGCTGAGCCCCGGCTGGGCCCCTGCCACTCCCACGAGGCGCCTGGCGTCCCTGCACGGGCTCTCCTTCGAGGCCGTGCTGCAGCCCTACCCGATTGACAGCCTGACAGACCTGGAGGATGGGCTCCTCGGCCTCGGCGTGGGCGACTTCATCGGCGAGCTGCAGGCTGCCCTGGAGGCGGCCGGCAGCGGCGCCCCGCCGGGCCTCTCCACCGCCACGCTCCTCGCCGGGGCGCCGACGTCCGCTCGCTTCACCCTCCCCGTGGCGCGGTGGGTGGCCCGCACGCCCTGGTCGACGTGCAGCAACACGTGCGGCGCGGGGGAGCGCACCCGCACCGTGGAGTGCATCGGGGCGTGGGGCAGCGACGCCGTCGAGCTGTGCAGCGCGAGCGCCGCGCCGGGAGCCAGCGGCGTGGCCAGCTCCGAGGCGTGCGAGCAGTACGTCGGGTGCCCGTACGACTGGAGCTGCCCGAGCGGCCCGGATCCCGTGACGGGCGAGGGCTGCGAGGCGCAGGCGTCGGGAGTTGCCATTGCGATCGTTGTCACTTTCGTCTTCTGTGCTTGCCTGCTCGGCTGGCTCGTCCGGAGGAGGAGGTATTTCAGCAGCCGTGGCTTAAACGTCTACTGGACGAGGGACGAGGGAATCGTCGACGGAGACGCGGACACGCGCAAGAAGGGGCAGGTGCCAGGCTGTGCCACCCTGACGCCCCGTGGTGGCCAGGGCGCTCCGGTCGGACCAGTGGACCTGGATTTCGGTGGCACGGTTGACTTCGAGTTGCAGGTCGGGGTGAGGACCACCGCCCAGGACTCGCTGCTGGTCGGGCGGCTCCCCCGCCGGGGCGGCGCGGCTCGCGGGGGCGGGGCGAAGGCCCTCGTGATCCGGCAGGGCCTCGCGGCATGGCAGGTCGGCGAGGACTGCATCAGCGGGAAGACGTATCTCGCGGATGGCGAGAAGCATGTGATCTCGGTCTCGTACAGCAGGAAGGAGGACCAGTACGTCCTCAAGGTCGACGGCCAGGAGGACGCCCGGGGGCTCCACCGCGTCGCGGACCATCCTGGCGACAGCCTCGTGCTCGGTACCGCAAGCGCCCCAAGAAATGGTGTGTCCAATGCGATCAGCCCTCTCCTCGAGAAGCTGCGCAGCGCTGGTGTCGAGGTGAGTCCTGTGGAAGGGAATGCAGAGCAGCCTCTCTTTGACGGCGATGTCGACTGCCTCACTTGGAGGGAGCAACAGAAGAAGCACGGCCGCATGGTGTGGATGACTTATGATTTGAACATCGAGACCGAGGATGCGGTCGCAGAGAGGATAACAACTCAGATTGGCGACAATGGTTCCAAAACGGTCACGTTCGACACGGGGTCGGCAACCAGCACAACCCTGCAGCTTTGCCACAAGGGGCAGTCGGTGGAATATTGGTCGGAGAGTAAACAAACATGGCTGCCGGCCAAGATCCTCTGTGTCAATGGCACGCATTACGACAAGGCCCTGAAGGTTAATGCGTTCAGCTACGAAGTACAGCTGAGTGGGACCGGACAGACGGTGCAGAACGTGGACGTGAGAGACTTGCGTATGCCTCTCGTCGAGGGCGAATCGGTGAGCGTCTTCTCCCAGAAATTCGGCGGTTGGTTCCCAGCCCGAGTTCACGGGTCGAGGCACGGTGGGCATTCCGGGCTCGTTCACGACGTCAGGCTGGAGAGCGCGTTCGACGAGCACGAGGAGCTGCAGGCGTACGTCATGTCTGAGCTCCAGGCGGACCTCGAGAGGTTCGCCGGCCCTGCGACGCAGGGCGGGGTACTGCCAGCACTGAGGGACATTCCATCAAAGCTCTTGAGAAGGCGCTACGACAGGGGGGTCCGCGTTCGCCTCTACAGGGACCCCGACGTGGGTTTCGTGGAGGCCGAGGTCGTCGGGGAGGAGGAGGGGGCGGGGCCGGAGGCAGAGGCAGAAGGCATCGACGCCACCCAGGGCACGAGTTCCGTTCCGAAGCGGTTCAGCGTTGCCGACCAGCGCTACTCCACTGTCTTGGTGCGGCGCGTCGGCGCAGGCGGCGGCTCCCAGGGCGACGGCGGGCTGTTCGGGGCCGACGGGCTCGAAGAGGTGATGAAGGTGCCAGACTACGTGCTGCGCCACCCCACAGCTGACGACGCGTCGGTGGGCGATATTACTTGGTCCGTTTGATGAGTTTCTCCCAGGCTTCTGCTTCAATGGCAGGCATAAGAACGGCCATGAACACTGCCCACTCGCGCAGATTCGGCCAGCGCCCTGACCTGCCAGGGCGAGCTGGCACAGAGCTCGCCTAATTAGGTTTTAGGCTGCTTTTTTGTGCAGACTCAGAATCCACTATGAACGGCTTGGAATAGCCCAATCAAACATCGCATACATGGTGTGGCTTTGCATATTGTCATAACTACCTTCAGCAGAGATTACATATGAGCTCATCGGCCTGCCCTCAGTCTTCCCAGGGAGCTCAACGCACCAGTGCATGATATTTTCAACAATCCGAATTGCAACGACTTCGAAGGCAGGTCTCTCTTGGTAGCTCCTGAGTTAGCTGCCCAGCGTGTCTCACGGCCAGCATCTCGCGTTTTCGAGTACTACGTCTCGGTTGCGAGCTGGACGGCACTCGACCAGCTTTTGGCCAGAGTCCCACCTTGGCTCTGGCCCCTTTTTTTGTGTCACTGCACGAGCAGGGCGCAGGCCTGGCTGCCCGGGGGCGCCAGGCGCGCCGAGAAGCACAGATCTCGGCGTGGACTGAACGAGGACGCTCGGCTCATCCGAGTCGCGGGGACCGGTGCAGAGCCAGCCTCAGAGGGTGGGGCACGCAGGTTACAGCGGCCGCGCATGCCCAGAAGGAGTCGAGGGAGGACCCTCGGACGCGAGCAAGGAGCGCGCGAAGCGTGAGTCGACTCGGACGCGTATCTGGTGCCGAGGGCCTTTCCGCTTCTGTGTCACGCAGATTTCGACATATCTGTACGTGACAGCGGTATTTAAGTAGATCAGGGCTACTGCTGCATCCCGGAAGAGGGCAAAGGCGTCCCTGTTCTGCCTCCTGAAAATTTTGCTTGCTACATTTGATATGCCTGCGCCCTTGCGCCACCTGCTGCTCCTGCGGGCAGGGGGCCCTGGATGCGAGCACCCTTTCACGTAGTCATGCGTGCTTGTCCTCGTC